GTGCGTATATATATATATATATACGTGTATACGTATATATATATATATACACGTGTATATATACCGTAGGTGTATACGTATATATATGTGTATATGTATATATATGTACGTATATATATACACCTATATATATATATATATATAGGGCCTATATACTTTTTAAGTCATGTATCATGCGTAGGAACGTTGACGCCTGCAAGGCTCTGGTTTATTACTTTAATCACTAAACAATAGTGTACTAAACATGTGTGGAAAATTTGAGCTAATTTCTTCCAGTCATATTTGAGTGATGTTTGAAAACTTTTTGGTAATTTGATACAATGGTGGCCATTTTGAATTTTTAATGAGGTCAATATATGTATTTTTTCCATTAATAAATTATTTAAAACATACACTTGGATATTAAACAGTTTGTACTTTGTCTATTATTGAAAATTTAGAATTTTGCTTTTTTACCCCTGATCTAGATACTGAATCACTGTAAATACTCGATACTTACTAAAATGGAAGGTACATTCAGCACAAGGCGAAGAGACAAAGAGAGAGAAGAAATGCCTATGTATTTGAACCAACAGCTATGCCAGCTCAGAGGGGAGATAGGCCTAAATAAATGACGGAAGAACAGCCGCGGCCCAACAGGTTAAAAACCGATTTGGCCACTGCAGGCCCATGCCAAAGGAAAAAGAATGCATTTGTTGTCGGGAAAGGGAGGAATGCCAGACAAAGATGGAAAATGATTCAGGCCAATGTATTTCCTTAATGGAGTCCTTCAAACAAATATGCCTTGATAAGGAAATATTAGTGGTTGTTTTTGCTTCAAGAAAGCAAGTTCTTGGAGAGAGAGTGTGAAGGAAGACGAACTTACTAACAGGTAGTTACTGTTACCAACAGCAGCTTCTTATTGTTAGCGGCAACTGTGTTCAGGGCTTTACTTCATTATTGCAAATATTTCTATTAGGCCTACTTTAATTTGTCTGTGTGAAGTTGCATGTATGAGATAGTATTATTTGCAGTAGATTCTGCGCACCTATTTTTTGAGCTAGTTTTTGAGGTGTATCATCCAGGTTAATTAAACTACTTTACAGAGCAGTATGGCTATATAGCCTCCTACTTTATAGTGCCCTAAGCTATGTAGGGCTTAGCCTAGCTATACTATAGGCCTATGGCCTTATTACAGCTTATGTTTAAAAATAAAATTGAGTGATCCTTTGCCGATGTTTACCCAGCAATAAATTGTTTACGAGTTAACAAGAACAGAGCGCGTAAAAAATTTACAAAAAATAGCAAAAAAAATACTACTCTGGCTAGCTACGCTCTTAAAGGAAAAATACGCACAGCTTACTAAAGAGCCCATAATTTGCATTGCACACAGATCATGAAGCACTCAAACAACCATTGAAATGAAAAATAATATATAATTTGCATTATATATCGATTACAAAGGACTGAAAGAATCTGACTGGTTGAGAGTAATCCATGAACTAATAGAACACTGTTGGATATGCGATAACTACATGGATCATAAACCAGCGACAGAAAGAACAACGCGAAAATCGAAAAGATGGGGAACCTCCATTGAAACGAAAAAGGAGAATCTATGAAAACCTGATAAAAACTGAACATTTTTAAAATGTTGAACAATAGGTTTAAAAAAAAATTGTTAAAATTACTACTAGTACTAACAATAAATTTTACCGGTTTGCCAAATTATTATGGATGGAATGACTCGCAGTAATAACAAAATACTATTATCACCGGCTCCATATTATTATTAATAATAATTATCATGTTATCATCCACCTTCCCAGCTAGTTAATATGAATGTATTGCAGCAGTTACTCTTATTATTACTGAATTTATATAAAATTACTGTATTGTACTGTATTTTCAGGAAATATCGACACATTGGGTAACGGTGTTTCATTTGGTGAGTGTTCAACCGTCGCAAGAAGAAAGACACAAGGGTCATCCCATCATGTGTTGTGTGGGTTATAAAATTAAAAAATTGCAAGAAGTTGATGAATGAAAAAAAGGTTTTATGGATGCTGTAGAAGATGATGAAATTGACTTTGTGTTTGAATAGAAGTTACACCACTTAGCATGCTTGACATGCTACATTGAAGAGGAATTGAAGAAACCCCTCGAGTTATACTGTATTCTATTTATACTGTATATATTTATTTGTATAACTTTATAGCTTGCAATCTATATTTGAATTTTTTATCTGCTTTTATGCTTGTGCTTATCGGTAAGATTGATGTATTAGGTTTCTTTATTAACTCATAATATAAAGTGTTCAATACTATATATTAATTTGATGACTGGTGCTAATCTTTAAAACACATCAGGTAGTGAAGGTGAAGAGATGCCATTATGGGCCACACAATTAGTATGGACTACTTCCGGTGCATTTAGAAGTGTTTCAAGTACAAAATCACTCCTCAAAGTAAAAGCTCTCGAAATTTGGTGTGTCCCCTCAACGGGCTAGTGATGTTTCCCTGGTAGAATTTATAGAAGACTTTGAAGAATATTGTACATATTACAAAATGGTAAGCAAAGATAAAGCACAAGTGCTTTTGACATATCTTGAAGGTTCAGATAAAGAAGAGATAGGTGTCAGATCAACTGAAGTAAAGGAAAATGCTGAAGAGATTATAAAATTATTAAAACTCAGTTTCGCACCTAGAAAAAAACCTCCTGCTTTGACTAGTACAACAGAATTGCATAAAATAAGAAAAGTCTTGCTGATTTCAGTAATTAATTGCTTCGATTGTATGACCAAATGGAATCTTCTGCAGAATCACCATACAAAATTACCGTTCTCAAGACCCATTTTATCTGAGGTTGTAGAAACAAATTTACCTGAATGCAGCTAAAACAAATTGTCTTTGGTAATGATAAAGGGTTTTTAGACAAATTTCTACAAATGCCAGTATATTAGTAATAACTGCTAGCAAGAATGATGTGAACACCAGAGCGTAGGTGAATTGATGGAAGAAGTGCAAGATTTGAAATCTGCTTTAGCCGATCATTATTTTAACTTTTAGGGACGATATTTTATTTGAAAAACTGTGTCTAAAACTAAGTCCACTATCTAGCGCTATGTGACAGTGTCATGAATGAATTCAATGGTTCCCCATTTTCTGCAAAAAGTTGTAGTTGATTATGTACTGATGTAATTAAGAGATTTAGTGATATGCTAGAAATACACTAGAACTCCTAGTAGGAATGCGAAGTTACAGTTACACGATAAGGGCATCCCTCTCCACGGAGAGTTGGGTCATGTATTTGTTTTTATTCATGTGTTAAAGATAGTTACCTTGTACTACAGTACTATATTATGCTAATTGACTTAATCATACTATGAAATATGTTATCTTTCTTGTACTATAGTGATGAACGAACTCCGCATCATTACACTACCACTACACATCACCGTACTGTAAACTCACATAAATGTGAGCAACCCGAGTAGAGCTGTATAAAGGCAGATCTAGCACCGCACAAACCTATAAGTAACAGTCATTTGTGAATCACTGCTATCCCCTGCAATCCAATAAAACCGAACAAACTAACCCATCAGTTGTCGCCGGAAACTTCTATTCGCCAATCATCCACCCAAACCAGATATAAGAGCACTCAATATTCTACAAGTACCATAGGTGTTTTGGAGGCCAATCTGGATTTCAAAATCACCAGAGCTAATTTGCAAAAGCACCAAATAAAATGTTTTAAAAACATCAACAACCATATGCTCTATATACTGTACTTTTACGGTATCAATAAAAACTATTGCGAATAGTACTATTCATTTCAATGATTCTTGAATATACATAATATATTAATTTTCACGATGCATATAACATTAAGTACACTTATTTTTGGTCTTGTTTGTATGGCTCATGAGATTTCAACTGATACTTCTTTGATGCTTTTCATTCCATCAGGCTTGTAGCTACACAAAGGACAGGAGTATGATGAATCTGCTAGCATGTTGCTCTGAAAAAGGAATTATAGCAAAATATGTTTTATTTACTCTCATCCACAGCTAGGGTAGTAACAAAAAAAATTTAATAAAACCAAAATGTCCACGGATTAATCTTGGTTAAGAAAGTATAATACATATTTCAAGTATTGAAATTTAATATTGAATACCAACATGATGGCATGTATTTCAATGTATTGTTCTTTCTTCTTTGAAATAATAATTGCATGAATTTTCAGGGTGTGAATCTGGTTGTGAAGAAGTTCTCCCGAATGGAATAAAACAATTTTAACCTGTGATATTATTCCGTCTCTTGCCTTGCTCCTGAGGTTTGGCCTATCCTTATTTTTATATTATCTTTTTAGTTTTAGAATGTACTGTGTTTCTGATCTGTATTATCATTTTGTTCGATAAATAAACATACAAAGTAGTATAAATAAAAAACACTGTAGTGGATGAGTGAAATGTACTTTCTGAAATAAAAACTAATCAATATTTATAATGGGAGCACAAAAATGAGGCCCCAATTCTGTATAATTACCTGAATACAGTAGTAACAATAGACATGTAAACAACCAATTTCCCTTGGCATTGTTGGCCACTCTCCACATATTGCACATTCTTTATACGTTTTCAGGGGCCGGGATGACCGAGTCTGGTTGGGAGAACTAGGGCTGCGGAGTTTCCTTCTGAAGAAATTCTGGATTCTTCTGTAGTTGATTAAAGGCAGGATGAAGAACAGGAACTCAGAGAATCCATGCCACATTAACTCTCTTGTCATAAATTCAAAACTTACCTAAAATACATAAAAAAATCATTGAGAACTTAATTATTTATAATAAATTACATGTAATTATTAACATGGCATGATACTGTACATTATCTTACAATAATTTCATCCCACAATCAGAAGTATGATCCTCATCATTCGACTTATTAACGCTGCCAATGCTGCTGTCTGTATGTTTGTTAGCAAGATGAAAAGGTCCAGGACTCACAGAAATTTTTTTACCATCAAGCATAAAAGAAAATAATGGAATTGCCAATTAAAAGACGCTCCACATCAACTCGTATGAAACTAGGAGATGGAGTTATTTTTTATTATTCCGACAGGAATTGAACCCAGGACCCTGAGATTGGAAGACATGTATCTTAACCACCAAGCTGTTCCACTCCTTTCTTATTTTAAAATTAAAATATGTAATTAAATCCAGTACCAGCACTCAATGCAAAGCAATTGTATATTCAATACAATAACCATTATAATCAATATTTAATAATTTAAAAATATTTAAACATACTTGTCTAACAAATTGAGGTTTGGAGAATGTTGCTCGAACGCCAATGATCCTCTCAAATAGAAATTGATACTGGCCATCACGAAGAAACAATAGGAAGTTGACAAGAGATGCAACCTTCAGCAACTTCTCTGCCATGTTTACAAATCCAATGATCTATAATGTCAGAATTATGAACAGCGCTTTATAGGGCCTATTTACACAGAGAGAAATAGTTGCACACAACAGCGAAAGAAATAGTCTGTCGCTCAGTAATCCATTTACACAGCAGGCAACTACAGCCGTCACACAAGCAACTTTTGTGGCTTGTTTTTCAGTCAACATACTCAGCAATGGATGATCGCATCAGTATTTGGTCAGAATATTTTACAATTTTTTTGAAATAGTAAAGTATTCTATATGCTGAGTGACACGTCGTTGTGCAATCTGGATCAGTATACAGATCAGGTTCTACAGTATCTGCCGCTGTCACATGCTGCTGTGGTGCTCTGTGTAAATAGGCCTTAAACAACCCCATCAAAAGAAAGACAATGAATTGAAATTGTGCTAGTGAAAAATAAACAATTTATAGAGGATATTGACTACCAATCTCCTGCCTACGTGAACCATATATGTAAACTGCATAATTTTACCCTCACTATGCTGTTTAATATTTATGACGTTATACAAAATTTTACAAGGTTTTATTTCGGTAAATTCTAGTTATCTCGTTGTTGGATGATTGGGACTACATTCCGCCCAATGCGAAGCAGAGGTAGTCTCAATCAGGCATTTGACACTTCGCTCGGAAGTAGAATTCAATATTTCATCTCAAACCATGTTGTATTTGTATATTATTCAATACCATTTCAGATGCATATTTATATGGATAAAGTATATTAATTTTCATTCAGTGGTGATTATTTTTCGTTCTAAAAAATGGTACCTTTGCAAAGAGGGTTTACTGTCCTTATAAATAACATGAACAGTTTTTCATTGTTTTTAAAATTAAGTCGAATTCAAAGTTGCTCTGAAAAATAGTTTGACTAAGAAAAAACTTATTCCCTCAGCTACAGAAAATAATTAAGTATTCTATCCTGTTACTGGGCAGTCTTTTGACTTGGTCAATCGTGTGTGGTAGTTGTGCCTGTGAAGGCACTCTTTGTGCTAAATTTACCTCACAACTTTACTACAGACAATTTACTTAAAAATTATATTAGAAGTCTCAGGAGTAAGTGTGCTAGTTCCACGTGCACAAGGAATGCAAGGGATACAAGCTCAGAGTAGCGCCAAATACTTCAGAGATCTCATGTATATGACATTTATTATGACCTCCCATTTTTTTCCAAAGATAATTTCCTACAAATGACTGCCAAAAACAACATTTAATGCAATGTTTAAATCATTGAAGGAACAATTGTTTCATAATTATAATTTCAAGAATTTGTGCAACATAACTGTTGAGAGACAGCGAAAGTGGAGCTATCACTTTTGTTGCAGAGTTTAGAAAAATTGTATAGTTAGAGTACTTGGTGAAAAGATCATTATGCCCTGGGTAAGTATCGTGTGGACACTCCTTTGAAGTTATATGCATATTTGTATGACTGTTCTAAATTTACTTAAGACTGAAGGCCATCTGAACATGGGTAATGACTTTGTGTCTGACCTTGTGTCTGCTTCTCCCAAATTTGTGCGACTGCTTCTCAGTGAATTCACTACTGTGACTAGGCAACTTAGTAACATCTAGTTCAAACAGTTAATTTCTGTTCACATCAACATAAAAAGTGAGTGAAAAGCATAGGCAAGGGAAACGTTATGGTTTTAAAGCACGTAAAATCCTATCGACTTTGATTTTGTTCGATTTTAAAAAAATATTTATCATCGCAAGAGGGAAAAATGGCAGGGAAAATATTCTACATTGACAAATTATTGAGATAAGCATAGTCAACTTAGGTAAGATTTACTGTACAAGCTTAATAATTTCCTACCCAACTAATTGTTGTTTCTCTGGTCAGACTTGATAGCTCCATACTCCGCTCTTGTATCCACTTCAAGCCTACCAACACTACACCTAAGAGCCATCGCTGACGAGTGTGAAGTGGGCCAAATTTAGCTGCATCTCTGTACTTAATGTTTAACATTTGCTGGCCTAGAGTGGCATCATTGGTGAATACTGAATACTGGGGAAGTGACGAAAACATTTTAATATTAAGATAATATTTAATATAAAGACACATGAAAATTCAATACCAACGGTAACAATATGCATTTTTAAATATTTTAGTTTGGCTTCAATTACTGTATACACTATTTTGAAATGACTGTAAAGGACTATACATTGTGAAACAAAAATTTAAATTCTCATAGCAACTCAGCATAGCATACAGTGCGTTTCACAAAACAAGCCTAATGTGTTTTATAACAAATTCAAAGTTTATAATTACCGTATATTTTTACTAATAGATACAGATCTGTTATAAATGTATGGTTTTAAATTGAGATATATTTTGTATTTTAAGGCAAAAAAAAATGTACAGAAACACATCACAGTATATACAAATAAACTTTATTAAAATTTCTAATATACTGTACTAAAATTGAAGCTTACTGTAGTCAAAGGTCAAAATGATATAACAATTATTTGTACAGTATTGAACTATCATGAAGAAAGAATAATCAAAACAATGTTTGTTGTAATGACCAATGTATTACTTTCATGTGTCATTCAACTTCATAATTTCAGCATAGAACTTAAAACATTTCCAATTGAGTTACTGTATGTTCACTATTGATGATTAAAATAGGCCTACTGTAAATCTTTGATTTTAAAGCCAGACTCAGGAGGACAAAAAATTGTTTATATGTTCTGCAACAAAAAATGTGTATGAAGAAAAACCGGTTAATGATAGGTTTTTGAATACATGTTTAAAAAGTGGAGGAAAAGGGTGGTTACACCCCTTTTTCTCCAAGTTTTGAATATTCAACATCAGGGTCGGATTTAGGGGGAGGCCGGGCTGGCCCCAGACACCCATAAATCCCTCCCCCCCCACCTGCATTTGTAAAGTAAAAAAAAAAGAAAGAAAAAGAAAAAAATTATTATCACCCAAATTTTTTTATTTTTGGGCATCTAGAAAAGAATTTCGCGGGGAATGCCCCAGACCTCTTAGGGTGGTATTATTACGATTTGCCCAACCTTCGCCCCCTCCCCCCTTTCGGACATTTCTGGATCCGCCCCTGAACAATCAGTATCTCAACTGCTTCGAGTTTTCCAATTTTGTGTCACCAGTTGTAAAACATATAAAAAACTGCTTTTGCTTCACAGCCTAACTTTAAAACAAATTTGAGCTTTTAATATCAGCATTTTTACACACAGGTAATAAAAAAACCACCATATTTTAGATCATTTTTAAAGGGGCACGAAACACAGGGTGGTGCCTCTATCGCACAGGACTTTATTCTGTACAACCAACCGAGCCACTGAAGTTTTACCATAATTAGTCTAGAACGAACAGCCCTGCAAACTTACCTCTCAGGAAAACTGCAGACAAGCGATTAGTTTAACTGAGTAGATTAATGCACATTACAACTGACCAGGTTAGTTTTAACGAGCTGAAAAGTCCAATGGAAACACGCGTCTCAGCTAAACTTCCCAACTCATTCAAGTGTTACTCAACAGGTTATGTTACGCACAAGCTCACTCAATATTTGATGTTCACTGCTCGGTTACTTTTTTGCAGTAAAATTAAACCGACTCAAAAAACCAAGTGCGGGCAGCAGTAAGATTTGTCTATTGGACACATTCTCTGCATAATCTTTACCTTTCAGCTACAAATGCAGCTTCAGATTTTCAGTATGAAAATACGCTAACAGTACCAGGAATCCATATTATTGACTGGCTACTTGAACGACAGTTAGACGGTGTGAAATATGGTATAATTTGCATTCCAGCTCACTAGCTGAAAACAGCGTCAGCACAGTAAGCCCTATTGTAAATTCAACCAAAAAATAAAGTGTTCGATTTACCTTCCATATCAGTAACCGTATGACAGTGTTCAGTTCAGGTTCGATCTTTGATAGATAGCCAGGCTGTGATAAAATATAAACACATTTAATTTAGGTAAAACCTGACCCCTAAAAATACTATTGCAAATACCATGTTTTCATTATACTGTACTGTGCAAGACACAGTATACTGTTAAAATACACAGCTGAGTGGTATCTGAGGTAAGCTGGTATATGTACACTATTTTTCTCCATGACGGTTCAGTGAACAATGAATAGGCCTACTGTACAGTATATCCCTTACCTTAAAATACTTGAACACATTTGATAACTGTGCCTTGATGATTTGTAGAATTTCATTATCCAGCTCTGATGAATCAAGCTGAAAATAAAGACTAATAGGCTGAATATCTTTTGTAAAAAAAAGGACAGATTTCCACTCACTTTTTGCAGAAATTCAGGCTTTTTTGGCCTATCTCTTATACAACCATATAGCAGAAGTAAAATTAAATGTCTGCGCACCTATTTTCCAGCCAAATTTAAATGGTGCTCAAGATATCTTCCACACGAATGACATAAGGTGCTATACACTACCGTGTGGTATTTCCGAGTGCTGATTAATAATTTTGAATTACTCGTAATTTCGAATTTATAATTCAAAATTTTGAATCACTAATTCCCTATTTCCACCCAGATGCCGGGAAATTGCATTTTTATTTTACAAATAAATGTCTTGATGATGATCATGAACGTGATGATGAAGATGATAATAATAATAATAATAATAATAATAATAATAATAATAATAAAGATGATCACAATGTACAATTGTTAAAAAAGGTGAATAAATATTCAAAATGTAACTTATTTATGAGCTTCCATCATGGTTGGTTGAAAAAGTTATATTCCCATTGAGCATGGTCCAAATTATTGGCATTTTTCAATCGACCATATTGAAAAGTGCGGAAAAATTATGCCATGCTAGACGTCCGGAAACTGAACCCTAGACGTCCGGAAACTGCATTCTTACACTGAAAAATGTATTTTAAATTTTCTTCATGAGGATTATGAAAATTATGATGATCAATAATGACTATGATGACAATTCCAAAAATATCGGTATTTTTTCAATCTATAGACACTTACTGAATAGTGGGGGGTGGGGAAATTGACATTATGTCCCCCTCACTTTGAAATGTTGAGGGGATGTATGTACACAAAGACATGTTTGTCCTTTTTATTTTTAGTTAAACTTCATTTCACAGAATTTATCAATCCGAAATAACAAATTATCAATTCAAAATTTTGAAATAGTAATTCGAAATAACGAAATAGTAATTTGAAATTACGAATTAGTAATTTGAATTTACGAAAAAGTTAATCTGAGGTTACAAATCCTATCCGATATCTTTATATCTGCAGGTTGTTGTTGTATCATAGGGATATAATATTACACTAGCAATATGTATCAGGTGGCACAGTAGTTGCACGTTTTGTGTGTACAGATAATCAAACAATTAGGTTCAAATCTCACTCTTGTTCTGTTTTTTTTTTCTTTTCTTTTTTGGTTTTTTTTTTAATTATTTTTTTATTTTTGTTATTTGTGCATATATTAAACATTAAAAAAAATATGAAAGATAATATGCACAAAAAATAATAAATGCAATAATAATAATAATAATAAAGTTTTGAATCCCATACGTTTGATTATGTTAAAATTGTCATTATAACTACTGTCATTTTTTAAAGTTAAATACAGATACTGGAGCATTAAAAAAAAAAGATTATTATTATCTTCGTAAAAGTTTGTGTGTGTGTGTAACATTATCGCGTTTTGCCTGATTTTTTGTGCACAGCATATCTCAAAAACACTTTCAGGGTCATCTAATATACTAATACATTTCATTTCATTATTTCACACAATTTTTAAAAAATATTTTTAATATATGCATTTAATAATAAAAACAACAAAATATTAAAGAAAAAGAAAAAAAAAAATTACTATCAACATTGCAGTACCCGCTGCTTACTTGGACTCAAATTTAACCCTGGCCATCAGACGCAAGCTCAGTGATCTAGAGGTATGATGCCAGGCTAGTGATCTGAAGATCGTGGGTTTAAGTCCCACCCGAGAACAACTTGCGACTTTTTTCAAGATTTTTTTCACACGTACTGAGTATTAAGTACATTACCACATCAGGTAGGGCAAAATTACACCTATACTTGATTTTCCTGACGCAAATCCAGTTATTGTCTATTCCATCACGACAATGACAATTACTATCAGCATTGCAGTACCGACTGCTTACATGGACTCAAATTCAACCCTGGCCATCAGTGGCAAGCTCGGTGGTCTAGATAGAGGTATGATGCCAGGCTAGTGATCTGGAGATCGTGGGTTGGAGTCCCACCCGAGAACAACTTGTGATTTTTCTAGCAATTGCTTTCACACATACTGAGTATTCAGTACATTTCCACATCAGGTAGGGCAAAATTACACCTACAGTATAAATAATATATTTGCTTTATTTTCATTTATCACATCATTCAATATATCTTAATTTATTTTATATATGTATTGTTATGAACAGAACATTTGAGAATGTTAATAATGGAGAAGCAACAAAAAAACAAACTTTGACAAACTATTAATCCACTAAATTTACTATAAGTAGCCTACTAATTTTATAAATCTAATTCTATAAACATGATTCAAATACTGTATTGGAAACGATAAAAAGAAACATATCTCCAAACCAATCGACTTGTAATATTTGCATTGTTTCTGTAAAAAGAAATATAACACCATTTGATACTGTTACTGTAATGAACTCTTTAATAATAATAATAATAATAATAATAATAATAATAATAATAATAATAATAATAATAATGTTGCAGTAATGTAGCCTACGTTTCATGTTTAACAAACGATATACTGCTTAATCACTTGTTTTATTAAAGCCATACACCGCGGCCGAAATGCATGACAAAAGTATCAACTCAGGGCCGAAACAACTCGGGCCAAAACGACCCGGCCGGGGCCGAATCGCTAGGCCTAGGCTAGGGGCCTAGCCTAGTTAGGCTTAGCATCATAACGTTTACCTGGTTAACTCGTAGAGCCAGTAAACCATTTCTGTTTTCGTCGTTATTTGAGTCCATAAATACAAACACGTTTTTTTTTTCTTTCTTTTTTAACAACAACAAACAACCATGTGTGAAGCGCGAAGAATCAAAACCAGTCAACTCAAGCGAATGCCAGTTCGAGCGGATGTCAGTTCGCAATCGAGCGGATGCCAGTTCGAGCGGATGCATTTAGTGCGACCTATAACAAGGGCGAATTCATCGTCGCCCTATTCTTGTATTTCTGAATGAAGTACGGAGCACTTTCGTTTGTTTTAAATGCAAAAATGCTCTATGCACTAAAGTTCTGAAATATTTTTGGTACTTTTGATAATTATTCCATGTTTGAATTATTCTTGGCAAATCCGACTAACATGCACTTACTTTATTATTATTTTTTTTAAATTTTTATTTTATTTATTTTTTTATTTTTTAAAATTTATATATATATATATATATATATTATTTTTAAAATTTTTTTATTTTTATTTTATATATTTTTTGATCGGCATTAAGCTAAAGTTTTTATTTTATTATATATATATATATATTTTATTTTTTAAATATTTTTTTTATTTATTTATTTTTTATTTTTTTATTTTTTTATTTTTGCTCCTTCTTACCTTTCAAATTTACTCAGATAGAGCATTTTTATAAACTAAGGACACGTAGTTCCAGTAATCTGAACTATAGAATCCCAATTATCAAGATGTGAACAAAAAACATTCTATTACAGTACAAGTAAAGCCTGGAATGAGATAAGTTTAAAAAAGGCTGAGTCAATAGATAATTTTAAAATCGCACTATAAACACATCTATTTAGCAGAATGTGCAGTAGATAAATAACTGAATTAATTGTCTTTTAATTATTTTAATGTTAACTGATTTGATACTCAATGAAATCATTTTATAACAAATTGTAAATGTATATTGATGATGATAATAAAAGTAATAATATTAATAATAATTATAATATTTTATTGATTTAAATTATAACAACTGCAATAATGGTTTTTAATGATTCATCTTTTAATGGTTTTCTGGTAGCTTTTATAGGTTTTATTTTTTCTTTGGTTTTCTTTTTGAGCAATTGTGCGGTTAATTGTATTTACTGGTCCCAAGTGGAAATAAGGTAAATTTTCTTGGTGTTCCTTGTAATCAAGGTCTGTTCCATTGCACAATTTTAAATGAATATTGTTTGTATAATAATTTGTATGTGTGTCTCTGTACTAGAAAACTAACCAACAAAACTAAACTAAGACTGAATTGCGCACCGCACGGGTCATTCTGAATTCACGGTTTTGTCTCCGTTTGGGGTTTTGTATTTAAAAAAAGCAAAGCATTTGTACTGTAAATGGAATTATTTTGTATTCATATCTGTATGCCCTAAATTTATTAATAATGTAAATTGTAATTGTTGTTCACCATAGAAATTTAATTGTGCACATCATTTGTGTAGTGTAAAGTCAATCAACTTACTTACTTACATATGCCTATCGTCCCTCCAGGGACTTAGGCCACCATAGAAGATTTCTCCAACCAGGCCGGTCCTGTGCCAGTTCATCCACTTCCCTCCATGTATAACCCAACCTCCGGACATCAGCCTCTAGGTCCCGTCGCCAGGTATTTCTTGGACGGCCCCGTTTCCTTTTGCCCTGGGGGTTCCAGCAGAGTGCTGACCTTATGATGTTTTGGGGTGGTTTTCGGAGGGTGTGTCTAGCCATCGCCAGCGTCTCTGTAGTATTTCTTTCTCTATGGGCTGCTGACCTGTCCTTGCCCATAACTCCTGGTTGCTGATCACATTTGGATAAAGTCATCAACAGTACAGTAATAATGACATGATGACGTCATATCAATTTTCCCCACTATTCACCATTCGTTTATAGTTCAAAACCCACTTTCTCAAAGCGAGTGGAAAGAATAACAATGACGAATGACTAAGATAAGATAAATCATTATTAATTATATGTACTTAGGTAGCCTATGTATAATTTATATTCTTAATTAACCTAAAAATCAATTAATTCATACATAGGCCTAACTGGGGCGGATGCAAGATTTGGCGGTAGAGTGTGCGTAAAAAATGAGGAAAAGTACATGTAGATTGCCGTAAATGACAGTTTTATATAGGCCTAATAAAATTCATCATCACATCACTATTATATAGTCAAAATGAAGCGCAAATTCCCATGATCTTGAACCACAGAGATCTAATTATTATATGTGATGTACCAAGAAAACAAAACTTAACAACATTGACTTTGATGTATTTACTTTACCTACTTCAAAGCTGTGAGTTACAACCACCTCAGCCCCACCAATAGTTAGGGATGAGGTGAGAAAATTTGAGGAAATAGTACCTTTAGATGGCCTGAAAGGACACTTTTATATAGTAAAATTCATCATTACTCACACCATCAATATAGTCTAGATGAAAGCGGCAGAAGATTTCTCCTGATTTTAAATCAGGGATTTTCTAATTAATAATATGAGTGATGTACCATAGAGAATAAAACCAAAGAAACACTTTCTTTGATGTATTTAACTTACTTGACCTACCTCAAAGCCGTGTGGCCAAATTCACCTCAGTCCCACCATGGTTGGGGCTAAGGTGAGAACATTTGAGGAAATAGTACCTCTAGATGGCCGGAAATGACACTTTTAAATAGTAAAATTCACCATCATCACATTACCATTATATAGATATCATAACGCCAACANNATTTATTATTTAATACCATATTTCTAGAGGGTGACCCATCCAGCAATGCTGATCATTAGGGGCCCTCATACAATACAAGAATAAAAACAAGAGTCACTTAATTACACAAATTTATAAAATTCAGATATAAAAGATAATTTGTAAAAATTTGAGAATACATTAATTAAAAAAGTTATAAAAAGATAAACAAGAAAATTACAGAATATACAGTTTAAATTAAAGTTTAAAAATAGCAAAAGTAGTACATAAACGAATAGAATTTAGAATAGAATTATATAAATTTGGACCCTTATAGCTAAAACAGTTTTTAAAAATAGCAAAAGTAGTACATAAACGAATATAATTTAGATTAGGCCTATATAAATTTGGACCCTTAAACAGTTTTTAAAAATTTCACAATGTGGTCTAGGAATAAAATAATTGCCGTTAGTAATTGCACGTGTTGTGGGACGATTGCTTGACAGGATCCTGCTCATCATGCGACATATAATACACACATGGTTGGGGCTAAGGTGAGAACATTTTAAGGAACCTGTAGATGGCCGGCAATTTTAAATAGTAAAATTCATCATCATCACATTAACATTATAATATATATCCTATACCGTAGTCAAAATGAAACTAATTCTCATGATCTTTTATCAGCTATTTTTTCGGCAAATATTAACTTTAAAACATATTGTCTTTGATGTACTTACTTTAACTACTTCAAAACTGTGAGTCCAAATGCATCACAGCCCTACCACAGTTGGGCTAAGGTAATAACATTTGAGGAAATAGTACCGTATACCTGTATATGGCCGGAAATGACACTTTTAAATAGTAAAATTCATTCCTAATCTTTATCAGCTTTTTGGATCAACCATAGAGATCTAATTAGTTTGTGTGATGTACGGTACCATAGACAAAAAACTTAAAAACATTGCCTTTGATGTATTTACTTTACCTACCTCAAAAATGTCACATAGTTACCAACCGTCTTGCATCGTGCGGGACGGTCCCGCATTTCACTGTGATTTTGGATGAAACACGCATTTTGCAGCGCAGAAACACATGCGTGATCATTGTCACGCATTTAGCACAAGTCTATGCGTGATAATAATTATTTCGAATTCATAGGAAAATATATTTAAAATGAGAAGAAATTGGTTTTATTAAAATTATAAAAACGGTCATGCAGTAACTTGAGTCATTACAGAGCGTTCGTTATCTCGTTGGAGAATCATTTCACCGAGAAAATTATAACTCAGCCAACCACGCACTTAGTAAAATGAGGTGCTTACGGTCTTGTGCGTTTATTGTCACAACCAACCGTTGATTATGTGACTCAAATCAGACCTCCACCGGGGCACCTCCCCTGGACCCCCATCCACTACAGGCAACTGTTGTAGTCACGCATTTAAAATCTCTCAGGTTGGTAACTATGAAACTGTGCGCACGCATCTCAAACTGTCCACACGCATGTCAAACGAGTCCACACTTACATATTCCAGCACGAAAATAATTGATAGTTTACCCATCTCCTAACTGGTCCCATTTGCTATTTAAGGAAGCCCTGGCTATTCATCGTCTTAAACATATATACAATCTGACAATTAATCTAACCAACTATGGCCTCTATCACAATCACCACTGGTAGAAGGCGTGTGTACATTGAAATAGAAAATGATCAGTGCTTTCGATGCTATCATTATTACATAGTTTATGTAATATGATGTTCATCATTACTAGACCATGCACATTTTCTTTCTTCAGATTCAATGGGTTAGTCCTTGCTTTAAACTTTAAACTAACAGATTCAAAATTTAGCTTATTAAACAGATAAGCTGAACAGATATGCTTTTGGTATATGTTTGTATCTCATATATTCATTAAATGTTGATTTTGTTTTAGCCCTTTCGGCCCATTTCTCAATATTATCCATTGAGTTTTCAAGTATAAAACATTTCAGACATCTGTACAACTCTCATCCGCTTCACACTACAGAAACTGGAGATAAGCTCCAGGCCTATGAGCCCCAGTGGCTTGGAAAGGATAGTACTTGAGTTTTTAGTTTTAGCTCTGACTGCCCGACGAGCTCTTGTCCAATGTGGGGTGGGAGGCTTGACATGTTTGGTGGGGGAACTTAAGCACCCCGCCCCCAACGCTAGCGCCGCCGGTAGGCCTACGATATGAGATGGGGAGGGGGGTGTCAAGAGTTCCCTTCCTCATGTCTGAAAGCAAAATTTGTCGGGGAGAAAAAAAATCTCTAAAATTGATTAAATAATTCCTTTGAAATCGCTAGTTTCCATGTGTTCCGCTCTTTAGACCCAACCTTTGAGTGGTGTTGGCCGTTCCTCCTGTTCCCGCCTACTTTGCCGTCAGGAAAATTGGCCTTTCCATCAGGGACATCACCTATTTCCCCGTCAGGG